GGGGGGGGGGGGGGGGGGGGGGGGGGGGGGGAGGCGGGGGATGCGTGGGCGTGTGTGGGTGTGGGTGTATGTGTGAGTGTGTGGGTGTGTATGCTTGTGGCGTTTGCCTATATGACCTCTCGCTGCACCAAAGACCCCAGAGCTCAGCCCTCCAACCAGTCTGGGGCCCGGCTTGGCGGTCGACAAACTGACGGGACACGGCACATGCGCCCGGTGGCCGGGGTGCAATCTGGCTTTGGCCTTCGCCTTGGGGCCATTGTGCGTCAACAGACACCCTGCCAGTGCAGGGATTCTGGTCGGCCTGCATCAACACCCCTCCCCGTGTCCCTGTGCCCCCGCCCCATGCCATTTCATGCTATATGTTATCAACATAAAGCTACTCCTCACTGATCCTCCCCTGACTCACCCTTAAAAAAAGAAACCCCGCCCCACGAGGTCCCACACAAGCACATTTACGTCCCGACACAGACAACCCTGGCGAACTGCGCCGCTGGGTCCTCGTCGACTGGTTGCACCTACAGCCACGCCCTCGCCTCGCGTCAAAGACGTGCGGGCAGAAACCCCCCTCTCCCTGCTATCCATAGCTGCCCTCTGTGCCTCGCAGACCTCCCCCGCGCGCAGAAGCCATGGACTGGGAGCTCAAGCCCTCGACCATCAGCAACTCCACTGCGAGCGAGCTGATCCCCGGGGCCGGCGACGACGCCGACCGACCTGATGCCACGGCTCCCGAGGCGGCCATGCCCATCTTGGAGCCTGTGGGAGAGTGGCGCAGCGCCCCGGATCGTGGCTATGCGAATGATGCCACTCCAGCGGCCATGATGCGGTGCGTACTCCCCCTCCTCCTTCCCGGTTGGTCTCTCTCTCTCCCTCTCCCTCTCTCTGTGCCTTCCTGTCGGACTCTTTTCTGATCGTGCCGGCCCCCCTCCCCCGCCCACGAACCACTGTGTAATTTCACCAGGAGCTTCGGGGCCCGGGATGAGCACTCAACCGAAATGCCTGACCGCCCGCCCTCGGGCATTGATGCCGGGGATGGTGATCGACCGGGCGACTTTTCCGGCGAGGACATCTACCAATACTCCATCGACAGTGGTGGCCCCTGGTGGTGGTGGTGGAACAGCTCGCAGGAGAACAGGTACACCACCGGCTCGGATGACAGCTTGGGATCCCCGCTTCCAAGCTACCTGGACCTCCTCTTCCCCTGGATCTCTCTCCGAAGAAGAAGGAGAAGAAGAAGAGGAAGAAAAAGAAGAAGTGCCCTCCACTTACCCAGATCCCCGTGCTCCTCACCATTTCCCGACCCACACCCGTAGCGGTAACTACAGCACCGGCGGCCTGAATACCCCATCCATCCTCAGCCTGCCAAGTCTCGGCCACAGCCCGATGACCGGATCCGAGCTAGACCTCGACCCTCTGGCCAAGCACCCGCCATCGAAGCACGATCCCACCAATCAGCACATGGTCACCCTGCCGAAAGTTGCATTGGCCGATGGCGACCGGGCGCTCGATCGCCAGCCGATGAAGCAGCAGCAGCAGCAGCAGCAGCAGCAGCAGCAACATCAGCAAAAACAGCCGCAGCACCACAGCGCCGCGATGCGAGGCCTCTCGCCGCACTTGCGATCCCTTTCGGACGCCGGCAGCTCGCCGACAGTCGGCCGGAGCGCCGCCGGCGGGGGCGACCCAGCCGGCTGGGACGGCCAAGGCGGAGCCTCCTTCACCCAGGTCACCCTGCTGGCCGGGGTGGAGCTCTTCAGCTCGGCCATTGTTGCCCTGGCCGTCGGCCTGGTTCAGCTGCCCCCTTGGTGGTGGCCCTCCTTCGGGGTGACCACCGACATCAGCGGGCCGCCCTCGCGCGGAGTCATCACCGCCCTGGTGTATGGGATATTCTCCGTCGGATCGGCCCTCATCTCTTCGCGCATCTCCCACATGATCTTCGACACGCGCGAGCGCCTCATCCGCACATTCAATCCGGAGGTGGCCGGGGAGTTCGCGGCAGCGGCCGCGGTGGCTGCCTCCTTCGCCGAGGGCGAGGGGGCACGATCGGTGGCCGGTGCCTCCGAGGAGTCGGCCTACTCCCGTGTCATCAGCGAGATTATCAATGCCACCGATCAGAGCACCCTGCTGTCGGTGGGGCTGGCCCCCGCGGCTGTGGCGTCGGCCCGGCCCGGCCCGGCGGAAGGCCCCTGGGCGGATGACCGGGCCCCCGCCGCGCCGGAGGCCGCCCGCACATTGCAACTGATTGACATGCTGGCCGACGCTCGGCGGTATGATCGCGTTCGGCGAAGCTGGGCCCTGGACGCCTCGGGGCTGGCCAATCCGGCCATCTGGCTGGGACTGTGGCTGACCGGCAAGTGCAACTGGGCACGGTGCGTGCATGCTCCCGCCGGTGGCATCGGAGGAGCAGTCTGCGGGGGGGGGGGGGGGGGGGGGGGGGGGGGGGGGGGGGGGGGGGGGGGGGGGGGGGGGGGGGGGGGGGGGGGGGGGGGGGGAGGGGGGGCCAGCGGTCGAGGTACCGGCATATGCGCCAGTTGTTGAGGGGGGTTCGGCCCCGGGCTGAGAGCCCCGAGG